TACCTTGCAAGCATCCATTTGCTTCCCTTTGGAAATGGGCAAACCTAGAAAGTCTTTCACATGTCAAGTCTCTTTGCAATTCAGGCTCGTTTCATGGTCTGAAAAGGTGCTCATCAAATCCTGGCCCACCGGTCACCAGCAGCTCCACTCTGGCTTGGATCCCTCCAGAGGAGAACTGATTCACATCTTCTCTGACCCACAGCCCTCAGGGGCTGCTGCAGATGGAAGCAGGATGCAGGTGCAGACTGTTCCATGAGTGGTATCCTTCTGTGCATGGAGGACTGATCCTGAACCCAGCCCTCCATCCACAGGCATTTCCAAACACAATTATTTCTGTGTGAATATTTTGCCAGCTGCTTCCTGGCAAAATACCATGCTAACAGGGATTATGGGAGCTGTAGTCCATAACATCTGGAGACCCCCTTTTTGAGAGAGGTTGGACAAGATGACCTTTGAAGTGTCTACCAAATCTATGACTCTTTGATCCTAAATCCTCACAAACACATTAGTACAATTATTTTCCTGGTGAAGATCGTTCAGGCTCAGCGGTTACTCAACATGCTGTCTGTGATTCAACGATGAGAAATCAGATGAAACAAGTGAACTAGCCTTGAACTAGTTTCCTAACCTTGGTTGGCCCACATGATGCAGAAACCACGCCGTGCCAGCATGCCAGCTGCAGGTCCCTACGAGGCTTGGCTGTGTCAAGAAGATCACATTTACCCCCACCATCCTGAGCACAGAGAAGCCGTAATTTGACAGAAAGGAAGTGTGTTTGGTGCTCCGGTGTGCCTGGAGAATAACAACACATGTTAATTCTATGCAGAAAGATAAATTAATTCTAATGACACCTTGAGGAACAGCTACTGTGCTCCATGCCGCTGAGTGGCTCATCATGAACCCACATGTTCTACTTTCCCTTTGCATCCACACAGAAACTGATCCTGAAGGCACTCGGTGCCTCCCCAGGTCTCAGTGGAGCACCTTAAGGCTTGGACCAACATGGAATCCACCTTAGCAGCAATGGTGGGGTCCTGTTTAGGCATCAGGTAAAGACCTTTCCCTTCACCCAGGCCTTCCCTGACTGATTTGCTGCCCAGTGTGTTGACTGTTAGTGCTTCAGTTTTAAATATTTTAGTGGGGAAGTGGTTTCATTTTTTTTTTACTCTAAATGTTTTTAACTGAGACCTGTTGTGATCCATGTTTAAATGTTTTAAATTGTGGACATGTGTTTCAACTTTTAGGTGGTTTCCCACTTTGAGATGTCTTTGCAGATATAGTCAGGTGGTCTTTCAACCAATGAAATATAGCATGTATCTGCATTTTTCTTTTTCTTTTTTTGGCTTTGGCCAGAAAAAGGACTCAGTAGAACCAGAATGGTATTTCCTGACTTTGTTTCCATGTATATTCCTATTTGGTTCAAAATGCAGCATTTTTCAAGCAGGCATGAAATGCATTTGCATGAATGGAGATTTGAAGCAATGCAGATTATACACAGTTGGCTTTCTCTGCCTCGGCGCCTACGCATTTAACTTCTCCCATGTCTTGCTGTATTTGAGAACTCCCATCCAGCAATGTCACAAAGGATGCATGTGCTTGCATTCGGAGATGCTTCTTTAATGTCTTTCCAAATTTCTGCATGATGTCTAATTGCATCACCTTAAAGCATCGTTCTTCTGAGCACTGACCCAAATAGTTTCATGCCTTTTTCTTCCACCAGATGAGCAGGCATTTCAGCCATGAGCGTGCTGCGTAGGCAGGAGTCCTCCCTAACCCCCTCCTCATCTAGAGACTCCACTTCTCTGAAAGGAGATAGAAACCCTCAGCCAATATTCACAGGCTTTGCAAGGTTTAAACATGCATCCTTTGGCTGACATTGAGCTGGCTGAGCAACAAGAAGTCTTTTTGCTCAGCAGCAAATCATGGCTTTTTTGATGCTACGGGAGACTTCCAAAAACCCCAGGCTGAAGATAACCAGCCAGCATTATATTCTGCCTGGAAGAAACTGCCCCAAGGATGGCTTTGCCATTGGGCAAAGTGAGACAGTCACTGCAGGGGGCAGAAGCCGGGTGAAGCTGAAGGGACCGCAGCAACCTCTGTCTGGCTCTTCTCCTCTGTCAGAGGACAGGTCGGTGTGTTCAGTGTGGATTGTCCTGGCTCCTGGTCTTCCTAAGTTAGCCTGCTGGCCTCTGGTGGAGGAGGCAGAAGGTGCTGCCTCATCAGCAGAGCTGAGGCAGGATGCTGCTAGGGTGGTCATCTATGCACAGCCCCAAAAAGGTCACCAGGGGATACAACTATAATTAGACAGAAGTGCAATATGTCTCACCCAGCAGAGAAGACTGTGATCCGGTGAGACGTATTGCACTTCCACCTGAATTTGCTTTGTTTGCTGTCTGGGTGTATTTAGGAGATGCTGAAGAAATCCACAAGGGATTCAAATGTGTTTGAATTTCAGTTAATCTGACTTGCAAACTGCCTTTTTAATGAGTCACAAGGATTCTGCAGGCCATTTTCATTTTTGAGGGGATTTGCATTAATTTGGCCCAGCACAAGTGCAGATAAGTGCAAATACACTAATCCACATTAATTTGGATTAGCACATTTACACCAGTGTGCATTAGCACTAAAATGCATGAGAGCAGGTAGAATTAAATCCTAGTTAAATTCTGGTTTAAAAACATCAGATTCTGTCAATGAGAGGATGATTGTGTGAAAGATGCCCGACACCCTAACCCTAAAAACAACTCAAAGGGTTTGACAGATCTTGATGGGAAACTACAAGGCCTCTCCTCTTCCTCCTTACCACCTCTTTGTCTTTAAACTGGACTTGAATTGAACAGACCTTCAAATACAGGACTGACCTGTGACAATCCTTCATAAAGCAGGACACCTGGCCACCCTGAATTTGACTGCTAGGTGGAACGGAGGCACCATCTTGTTCTTTTGCCTCATGTAGCAAAGAGTCTTGTGCCATCTTAAGAAGCTGTGGATAATCCTCTTAGTTCACTCCTTTCCTCTGGGAAAATGAAGTGGAAAGCAAATGCCAGGGTCCTGCATAAGAAGTACATCCACAGAAATTTTAGGAAGCCCAAAGATTGCGTAGACCAGCAAGATGTGCAGCTTCCATCCATTCCTTTGCAGGAGCCAGAGAGAACATTAATGCGCCGTCTCAGGGAAGGGGGGCTGCAGAGCCTCTCCCCAGCACCTGGTTCCCTGCTGACAGGTAAGGTACCTGCAAGGGCATTTTCCTGGTAGTGGGCAAAGACAGTTCCAACATATTTTGCATCAGGTGAGATGTTGTGGTGAGCCTGGAGATTACTGTTTGGGAAAAATGACTGAGAAATTCGAAGGAGAGCAACCTTGTTTTGATGCAATGATCAAAATGTTTTATGGAAAGCTCCATAGCATTTTTGAACTGTTTTTCACATAGCAGCTCCGTGCCCTATTACTGAGGGCTGCTCCTGTGGCTTAACAGTCCAACCAACTCTGTCAAAGAGTTGTGAGGTGTAAATATGGATCTGAGATGAGAGGGGAGGTGCACTTGGGAGACTGCAGAGAAAGGAGAACTCAAAAATCAGGAATGGAGAGCAGGTCAGGCCTGGAAAACAAGACTAGAGAAGTCAGGATCAAAGGACAGTGTATTTATTTGGACCCCGCTTTTCATGGGGAGAATAACCCGTAGTCTGATATAGCAAAGTCTTCCCAGAAACCTTGCACACCTGCTGGACTTGTGCCCACTGTGACTCTGTGAACCAACACCTGCTGCCACTCCTAGAAACGGTTTCTGACCTTATGCACCTCTATAACTTCCTGAGGACGGAGGCTACTTCCCTTGAAGGGCCTGTCCCACAGGAAGAGGGATAGGGCAGGTGTATAACTGTTCCTCAGCTTACTGATCTTACTGCCTTCCCACTCTATGATCTGCAAAGCTAAGCACAGGTTATGGAAGTTGGCTTCTACTGCTTGAAGTTGTTCTTGCAGCTTTCATGCACATGGGCACATGTACTTGAATTTAATTAATTAATGCACGGTAAAACACAACCTCCCAGATATGCACACCTCCAGTAACCCTTAGTGTGCATCCTATGCTTCAGCTGCCACAGTCTTTGCTCTGACACATGGATGGAAAGCCCATTTTAAAAGGAACTCTCAGTTTTGACAGCTAGTTGTCAAAATCCCGTGCTCCTGCAAATGGGGTAGCTTGCCCTTTCCCACTTTCTTGAGTACCTAGATTCTTGCAAAAAGTTGAAAAAGTGCAAGGACAGTGAGAAGAATCAGGTGCAGCAAACAATAGGAGCAGCAGCAGCAGCAACAACAACAACAAAACTGGGGGATTTTGTTGTGAAGAGTGCAGTCTAGACAGCTGTCAAGGGAGTGCAAAATGTGCAATTGGCCTATTTGCAGCCTCTCTAAGTCAATGTATTAGCCCCTGAATCAATTTCTGGGAGATTTTCACCTTCTAGAAAATCTGCACTAATTCTTTGCAATTACTAATTTTAAAAGAGCAGGCAAGCCAGTGCCCAAGCCTCCAATGTAGTGCCTGGACTTGCTGAAGGCAATCCCTGGGGGGCAAAAAACACGGAGGGAGGGGGAAGAAGCTGTGGCCGCTGACAAAGAGCTCATGATCACCATGAAGGGGTAGACAAAATGGCATTCGTTGCAAAGTCCTCTGGGAAACTAGCTGGAAGATGACAACCCACGGTGAGCCTGACTGTCTCTTGGGCTCACCATGGATTGTTCTGCAAACAATCAGCCCACCCTTGCAGGGTTATGCACTGGGCGACTTTACATGTTGTGTGAACCCACTCCCTATGTCCACAGTACAAAACAACTGAGTACTTGTCTCATCTTGAGAACTTGCACATTGCTACATCATTAACTTACCAGAATATTATTAATCATATGTTTTCCTAAATTGAGCAAGACCAAACTTCTCCTTCTCAGTTGAAAAAAATAGATTTTTTAGCAAGTGTCTGGAGAAGTTACAAACAGGTGGAGACTGCAGGATTCGAGTCCAGACACAAAAGAAGCAAGCTCTGTAAAGCAGCTGAAAGGGACCACATTTTCCTAAAAAACAACTTGCCTTAGCAAGCACCATGAGGATATCCTACAGCTTGATTTGGACCCTTTTCCAAGGTGAGAATAACGGGCATATAGGAACAGATTAGATAGAACTGGTTACATCAGGCTGGGAAAATACAGCCTTGGGCAATTTATCCAGAGTTCTTGGGCTCAGCATTTCTTTTTCAATCTTTTGGCTGAAAATCAAATTTGGAAAGGAAGGCACCGGCAAAATCTGGATAACTGAGAAGCAAAATATTCTTGGCCCACCAGGAGGAGGAAAATCTGGAAAGCTCTACAATGGAGGAAAGATTTTTATTTGCAAATGTTGTCTGGAGTTACATCAAGCAATTCATTGATCTAGCAACTAATACGATAGAGGGGTGGGGAATGGACTAGTCCAGTGATCAGATTGCTGTTGACTCAACAGTTCCTTTGGAAAGCCTTGGGAACAGTCCAGATTTTTTAAATGCATGTAGTAGTAGTACTCAAGTAGTATAATTGGAGCAGTAGTAAGGTTCCCTCTAGCCATAAATGATCTTGTATGTAATGGCACAGAACCAATAATTTTATTTTGAGCTGTTTGTGTTGGCTCGTACTCTGCCACTTCTATCTGTGATGGTTCACCTTGAACCATTCTTTGATCTGGGCAGGGTGTGGTAACATTTCTGAACCCAATTTAGTTTGCTTCTGGGCCCCAGGCCTGGCACCAACACCCAGCAGGCTAAGGCCGTTGCCAGATTCCAGGTATCTTAGCAGGCCCACCAGGTGCTAACACCAACCCTGCCACTGCCCTCCCCAAGTTCCCGCGCAGCGCTGTATGTCGGGCAACAAAAGCTGCCAGCTGCTTGTCAGCAGGTGCAGCTGCTGTTTGGCTCCCACCCAAAATGCCACTGTCTGTTGCTGAAGGAGCACATGTGGGGAAGGGAAGAGTGGACAGGATCCTGAAGGTGATGGAGAAGACAGAAATGCTGCGGGTTCAGGCCGGTCTCTACCTAAGAGACTACCTAAGAGACTCTACCTAAGGCTAAAAGGTGGTATCCAAATGCTTTTAATCAATCAGTCTTAAAGCAAAGTTTTCTTTGGTCTCCCCCACAGCAGACCTCAACCCATGAGCATGGCTGGTGGTCATGCTGGTGGACCCCAGGTTTCCAGTGACAGACATTCTGCTGCTTTCTCTCCCATCCAGTCATGCAGACTCCCAAAGACGCGTCACTGGATTAAGCGAGACCCTTCTCTTTGTTTATATGATTTCCAATAATTCCCTAGAGAGGCCCAAGTGGGTCCAGTGCCTCTGTGAACTCTTAGGTTTGTTTCGCAGTGAATGTAAAAGGTTTTCTGTTTCTTTCACTTTCCCCCCAGTTTGCTGTGCACTGGAAGGCCCTAATGCAGTGACAGCGCCCCTTGGTGGACCAGTGACTCTGCTGTGCAAATACGGAAAGGGTGATGAAAAATTGGTCAAATTCTGGTGCAAGGAAACTAATAGGAGAATCTGCTCCAGTGACCGCATTGTCCGGACAACAGGCTCAGAGGCTGAGGTCAAGTGGAAAAGAATGTCCATCAAAGACAACCATCTATTTCACGAGTTCCTGGTGACCATGGAAAACCTCACGCAGGAGGATGCTGGGACATATCTTTGCGGTGTGGAGCGGAGTTATGACATCTGGCACAAGGTGGAAGTGAACATTCTGTCAGGTAAACACAGTCATGTTTACTCCTATAGAAAGAAGGTTGGTGTATATACAAAAGAAGATAAGGCACAGGGTCAGCTATCTAAAACTAGAACTGCGCTGTAATTAGGTAATGGATGCACTCAGCATTCGGAACCCCAGGAATTGTGACTTCAGTTGTAAAAGAAAGCAATGTACTCGCCTTTACAGGAACGATCATGCAGATAAAGCTTGGTGACATCCTAGAAATCAGAAAGACAGCAAATTTTCTAAAAATTGCAAAGCTCTACGCAAAGATGCAAGACTAGAAAACAAAGCAAAGCGAATGGAGAAGAGTGTAGAATGTAGAATCCTATCAGAAAGCCATGAGGCTCATTTGGGCACAGAATATTACACAGGTGGAATAACCAGCGGTCAGCGATTGAATCATATTTCCAAACTTTGTAAGGTATTGAGGAATGGGAACTACAATCAAAAAGCAATTTTGGGAAAAGTTCATAATAGAGTGAGAGTTCAAAACCTGAAGATCGTAATACATATTGTGAGACATGGGAGGGGTATGGAGTGTGGAGAAAGTGGGAGCTGGGCAGAAAAGACACCAGAAAGTGGGCACTTTTGAAAATGAGCCTGAGGTCTGTGCAATTTAGCAGAAAATTAGGGTTTGGGTTAACATCCAGGTTAGGAATAGGGCTCCTAACCAAGGAACAGAGGTTTGAAAAATGCTCAGAGTGGGGAAAAATGAGAGTTGGCTGAAAAACCCTGCTATTGCCTGCTTTACCAAAGCGTGCATTCAGGAACCTGTACTTCAGCCCCGGACAGGCTTGTCAGGAGAAGGGCCAGGCTAGAGGGAGAGACTGAGAAATGATGATCCTGCCATTCCCCAAGAGACTTCCAATATGTTCGGAGTGGGCGGAAAGACTGAGCAGTGGAGAAAAACCAGCATAGAGTCAAAATTTTGAATATCCAGGCTGAGGGCTGTGCATTTCAGCAGCAAATTAGGGTAAGGATGAACATCCAGCTTAGGGTTAGGGTTTATTTATTTATTATTTATTACAAACATTTGTATCCCGTCCTTCTGCACAAGCACTCAGGACGGCTTACACAGTATAAAATTACAATAATAAGGTTAGGGAACTTGCACTCCAACAACTGGGAGAGCCAGTGTGGCACAGTGGTTAGAGTGTCAGGCTTGGTCTCAAGTGATCCGGGTTCTAGTCTCCATGTGGCCATGAAGTACACTTTGGACTAGTCACTGTGCTCTAGCCTAAGCTATTTCCCAGGGTTGCTGTGAAGGTGAGAATGTTCTAACCCTCCGTGGGTTCCTCACAGGGAAACAGCAGGATTTAAATGCAATGAATAAAAAAGCTAGAGACCTGCCTAAGGAGACCAGCAGGCCATCTTCTCTAATGCCTTGCTTCCCACAACCGCCAGCCAGACCCCTCCAGCATGAAGACATGAAGACATGCTCCACGCAACAGCGTGGAAATGCAACCACAATCTGCCTCCGTTCTCTGGTGTCCAGTGTTCACTAGCATACTGCCTCTGAACTTAAAGGCCCCATAGAGATATCATGGCTATATAGAGGGACCTTGCAAACCATCGTAACACAGAGAAGTATTTACCTTGACATAAAGCACTCGAAATTTTATCTGATCCTCTTAATTGCAAAAGAGGGGTCCTTTTTAATTTTTTAAAATTTTCTTAACATAAAACACAAAAAAGAAAAATATATGTAAAATAAAGCAAAAGAAGGGTTCTTGACATACAGGGCAAAGAAGCAGAAGGCTGAGAGGTTGTGTGATCATACTTCTCTTTGAAAGCACTGTACATATTACAACAGTATTGGGACAAAAAAAAAAGTATCCAGGATTAGAACAGTCAAGGGTATTAATTCTTCATTGATTTGCCTAATAGTTCAATCATATGCAAATCTGCTTGTAAGGTTTACTGGGCTCAATGTATCTGTCTCTGAAATTCATGGAAACAAACGTGATTTTGGCATAAGCTTCCTTGGACTATATAAATGGTTATAGGAATGAAGGGGAAGTGTTCTTTGCAGACTTGTGTAGGATTGTCACCTTTCCCAAACAGCACCCACCACACATGCTCCTAATTCTCCAGACCAAGTTACAGACTTAGAAAAGAAAAACAGTTCTTTCTGCTGAATCACATTTTTCAAAGTTGCCACTACATGGCTCCAACACCATATGGACTCTCTGAAGAAAAGTAAGGTCACACAGTCAGAGTCCACCAGACCATGGGTAGCAGAATACCTTTGAATCCACAAGCCACCCCCCCCCCCCAAAGTCCTACATCCTTGCTTCTGCCCACCCCCAAAAAGTTTGAATTGGATTCCTGCCTTTGCTTTTCTTGGTTATGCAACCGGCCATTGCCGTTCAATAGACTTTGTTCCTGAATTGGAAAAAAGGGGCAGAGGGGGGAGCTCTTCCCTGCAGCACTTCTCAAGTGAGCCACTTTCCAAGGAGAAATTAAGACGTCCTCGTGAGAGAGGAGAATAAAGGCAGAAAGGGACTGGTGGGAATAAGAACAGGATGGGCACACAGGCATAGCCAAGGAGGCTTGTGGGAACAGGTGGAGAGAACCTATGGGAACAGCAAAGAAAAACTAAGGGGAAGTACCAGAGGGTTATGAAACTATATGGGAAACAGAATAAATTGACTAAAAGCGGAACTGATGTGGCAGAAGTATGAGACAGCAAAGTTAACAAGCCAGTATATGTAAAGGGCAGCAGACAAACAGTGTATTTGGGGTGGAAGTGTGGGTAAAGCAGAATGGTCCTATGCAGGATTAGCTGGAAGCAAGCCACAGTGCTCACAGGACAGCGTGCACAGGTCTGAGCTGCCCAGAGCGAGGTGAGGAAGGAACGGCCGAGGAAGAACCCAGCTGCTGTGAAGGAAGAGCTACTGGGAAAAGTGCAGAGGGTAAAGAGGACACGGAAGAAGAGGGGAGGACAAGGAAAGGACACACGAGATTTCGGAGAAAGTGAGACCGTTAGGAACAGAGGGTTATTTATGTCAAACCACTGCCCAGGTGAGAAAATAACTGAGGACAAGGAAAGGACTTTGAAAGTTTAGACAAACTGGCCAGGGGTTGCAGAAAGCATAGGAGGAAGGCCTTGTGGAGGTGAAAAAGTAGGGAATAAACTTTATATTTATATTTATTTATATTTCTATTTATATCCTGCCTTTTCCTACAAAGGGCTCAAGGCAGCTTACATCATTCTCCTCCTCCATCTTATCCCCACAACAACAACCCTGTGAGGTAGGTTGGGCTGAGAGTCTATGACTGGCCCAAAGTCACCCAGTTGGCTCCATGGCCGAGCGGGGACTAGAACCCAGATCGTCTGAGTCCCAGTCCCACGCTCTTAACCACTACACCACACTGACTCTCTTGTAGAGTGCTAGTGAAAGTAAAGGTTTCAGAGGAAGGTGGAAGATACCAAAGCAAAGAGGGGGTGGAGGGGCTTCTCCCCTACCAGGTTGGAAAAGCCGGGCTCCCCACAGAGGTCTGGAGCCTTGAAAAGTGTTCAGAGTGGGCACAAAGAGAGAACTTGCCATAAAAAGCCTGCTATTGCCTTTCTTTTGGCAATCTGCATCCCTGCCAGTATTTCAGCCCCTGAGATTTTTATCAGTAAAGGGCTATGTGGGGGTGAGAACTTGCAAAATGTAAATCCTTCCATTCCTCAAGAGCCTTCCAATGCATTCAGAGTTGGCGAACATCTTGAGCACTGTAGAAAAACCACCAGAAAGTGGGCATTCTGCACATCAACCCTTCGGGATCTGCATTTGTGCCCCAGTTTAGGTTTCTTTATCAGCCTGTGTATCATTTGCCTGTTAAAAATCAGGGACCTCACGAAGTGCCACAGGCATAGATTCAGTATGCAAATGATGCATATCCTCTCTTGCAGTCTGTGGTTGCTATTTTGTTATCTCTTCTTCTTTTGGTTCTGTATTATTTTGCACCTGTTTTTGCTGCAATACTTCTTGTTGACTTGTTTCATTGTGCATTTTATATTGAATTTTGTAAACAGTTTGTTGGACACATTCATATTTTAAATAAAATGTCCATAAATGGCATAGGTAGGTTTATCTCATGATGCTGAATTGGCCATGGAGGGGTGTACTATTGTGGACTCCAACCACCTGCCAACCGTTCTGCTACTGTTTTGCTCTTAGGTTCCTTAATTCTCATATAGTATTCCCAAATAGCACCATCCTTGGGTCAAGCCTGTCCCACTCTGAAATCTCCTTTTAATGTGTTAGTCCAGAAATATGAAGACATCTAACATCTCCTACATCAGGGTTTGATAGTATACGTACTTCTTTGCAGATGCTGGGGGTTCCACCCATTTTAGAAGCACAGAACAAGCAACAGAAGAACCAGGAGGAGCGAGCAATGTTCCTGAAAGGTACAGTTACCCTCTGTGCCACTCGTGTTCTGCAAATGCTGGATGAGAAGCATTGTTGGTTTCCACGCCTTATGAAAGCCAATGGCCTTAATCTACTGCTTCTCCAGCTCCATCTGATATATTACTGCCTGTTCATTCATCCCACTTCTAGCCTTTGTTTCTCCAAGTTAGGGCCCAATGCAGAAGGCGGGAGAGAGCAGAAATTCCCCTCTGAGGTTTTTGACAGACGTCTGATATTCTGATTTTCCCCTTCCCACCCACCCCATACCTTGCCCCTTACTACTCCAGCATCAGAAAGAAGCAAGAGACGGAGAATCAGGGGTGTGTGCTGTGGCCAGAGCAAGGGAGGCACTGGATCCCGAGGATCCCACACCCCCAGGCAGGAGAACAAGCGGACCAACCCTGGAATTGGCCTAAATAATTTTCTTCCTAGAAGGAAATAGTTTTAAAAAGTGGTAGAATAACAGCAAGCTGCCCCACTCCTTCTGCTTGGCTGACAGAAGTCCACCAAGGCTTTGGAAATGCCCAAGGAAATGTCAGAAGATGCATCAACACAAAGCTAAGATTGTGCCCATGAAACAAATGTATGGTTGCTTCTCATCGTTAAGTACAGAAAAACAAAAAAGTAGTGCGTGTCTCTTTTTAGCATCCAGCCCAGCAAGAATGATTTTCTGCTCCTCTTGAAAATTCCCATCTTCATAGCCATGTTAGTGGCTTTAGTGTGGGTGCATATGTGCTACAGAAAAGGAAGATGCAGCACCAGGAGCCCAGAGACACAAGAGGAGCTCCAAGCAGTCCCATCGAAAGGTAACTGGCTACTTCATCTCACGCTGTGATGTAACTAGCAGGTTTCCAGCTGTGACATGAACCCAAGAAGGTGGGAGGCAGGCCAGGCAGATGCATCGTGGGGATTTCCCGACAGTGAGGGCGAGATCAGCAAGAGATATTTGCATGCCTCGGTATGTGCAGCTGGAGATCCTACAGTTGCCCCAGTTCTTTATAAACTTGGGTTGTTATCCTGAATCATATTCCAAGTTCCTCTTTGCAAATGGAGAAACTGAGAGCCAATGTGGTGCAGTGGTTAAGAGCTCGGGACTGGGACTCAGGCGATCTGGGTTCTAGTTCCTGTTTAGCCCGGGAGCTAATTGGGTGACTTTGGGCCAGTCACAGACTTTCAACCCAACCTACCTCACAGGGTTGTTGTTGTGGAGACAAGATTGAGAGCAAGAAGGGGAGGAGAATGGTGTAAGCTGCTTTGAGTTCTTTAAACAAGAAAAAAAAAAGTGGGATCTCAGTCTAATAAAGAGGCAAGTAAGTAAAATAATTGCCCAGCAGCAAAGGAGAGGGTGCAAAGCTCATGTGGAAGGTCCATGCTTTGCATACATAAGGTTCCAGGTTCCATTCCTGGCATCTCTGGGTAGGCCAAAAATGATTCCTTCCAGAGACCCTGGAGAACCACGGATGGCAGTCAGTGCAGCCAATACTGAGCAAAATGATGGACACAGGCTATGGCAGCTTCCCATATTCCCACAATCACATATGGCTCATCCAAACTTTCTGGCACATGGATCAGGATGACACACGGAGTTAGGAACATACAACATAATGCGCTGGCCACGATCACATTATGACATTATGTAAAGAGTGTTGGGGTTTATCTCTCTATCGCTCTCTGAATCAGCTTGGAGTGTTTGCTGCCAAACTCTTCGGATTCTGATTGTGTTAACTATGTGCCTATCAAAATAAGTCAAAATAAATAACTATTCAAAGAGCCTGACAGTGTCTGAAATTGTTCCTTTAAACAAGATTTACCCTCAGATTGTTTTTTCTAGTTAAGATATGTGATAATACAAGGCTAGTTAAGAAGAACCAAAGAAATGTATCTGTTCAGATGTTACTTCATTAATCAAGCCCACTTCCTGTTGTTTTCCGTAGCTTAAGAACCATCCCAGTCTAGGAGGCCATCAAGACATGGATGTTGTCCTCTAACTCAGTGTGCAGAAAGTACGCAACTAGTACTTGATGACAGATTTTGCTGTTCGACCACTGATCATCGTCTTGTGAAGCGAGAAGCTTTGGATTGAACCAACATGAGAGGAAAGCAAAACATCATGCCTGCATAATTCTACTACAAAGCTGAAAAACAGCACCCCCAATTTCTGAATAATTTAAATGCTTATCCAGAGAGAGAGAGAGAGAGAGAGAGAGAGAGAGAGAGAGAGAGAGAGAGAGAGAGAGAGAGAGAGAGAGAGATCATACTAAAGGAATTGTGTAGGTTCAAAGGTTTAGCAAAAGTTAAACTGGAGCTCTTAGAGATGCCTTGCCTTGCCTCTATTTCCTCCCTATGGTCCATGTCTTATCTCACTCTCAACAAATGAGCACATGTCTTATCTTGACAAGTCCTTTCAATGAATGTTGCTAGATTATGTTGCAAGCACAAAGTCCCTTTGTTGGTGCAGTGAAAATATTCCCATCCCTGCTTCATTCTTCCTTTTCTGAACACAGTCTTTTCTACTCTGTAAAAGCACGTGTACATTTGAAAGTGTATCCATGGAGAAATACATATACATTGATAATGTATTTATTCCTAGATCAATGCATTATCTATGTATTTTCATCAAGGCATGGGTCCTTCCAAAATGGACTATGGGGTTCTTTTGTAAATACTCTTGCAGTTCATACCTCCTTGCAAATGGCTCTTCATTTAAATCAAGGAGGATGTCAACCCTAGCATAGTTCACATCAGTGAGTGAACCTGTGTGTGACACTGTACAGTCCGCTAAAACTATTTTTAAAGTGCCATAAAATGTGCTTTGCGGGTGACATTAAACATTTAAAGGTTCTATATTATGCTGTATTTTAGGGTTCTAATTTTTGTGAACCTCCCAAAGAGCTTTTGCTATTGGGTGGAACAGAAATGCTACTCTGCTTTATAGTTCTGATATGAATGTATGTGGAAATGTTCAAAACTAGAATTGCTTTGGATTTCGTTGATCGGGTAGCTTGCATTCAAGCTACTCTGTGTTGGGGTCAAGGGGGATGTGGGCCTGGGCAAGCATTCCCACGGGGCCTCAGCCACACCAGAGATGCTGATTCAGGTTCAGAATATGAGGAATGTCTCAGTGGGCTTGGATTGTCCCAGGGTCCTGAGAGGCAACAGGAGGAAGCGGAGGAGGGGATGATTATCTGAAGGAGAGCCACTTCGCCTGGCTGGACTGTTCCTGAGAATGGCTTGGAGGGATGGCCTGTACAAGGGTCTATGTGGGATGAGGAACTCCCAGATGTGGATCAACCCCTCCCCTCCGAGCTGGACCTCGTGGCAAGGTGCCAGCAGAGGCCCGAGTGGATAAGCAGCAAGTGGAGAGGAGGTGTGCTTACTCTCAGAGGGCCTCTGCCAAAGCACTGGTGTGCAAGCGGGTTCATAAGGAGAGCTAGATTGGATTCAACAAACCGTTTTGTGCTTGATCAGGGACTCATCTGGGTGATTTGCATTTAGAAGTAGTAAAGAGTGTGTTACATGGAAACAGCTGTTTGTTAAAAGGAGGAACTGTGGTTTGCAACACTCCGGGAAGCATTTGAAACAGCCAAACCAACTGACCGTTGGGGTGAGTGAACTGTGGTGCTGCAAAAGGAGCAAGCCAGAGGTAGCATCATGCACCAGGGACTGACATGCCTCCACAACCTATGCCTTGTGTGATCGGCCAGCGAGAGAGGTCCCGTTTGCGCGGAAGAGGCATGGCTGCATGCAGAACAACCTCGGGGGCCCAGGGAAAGTCGGGGCTGAAGGGTGAGGGCAGGGGCCTGTCTCCACAGACGCTGCTGCTCTGCCTAAATGTTAGGGCAGATCCCCATTCTTCCTGTCCTACAGGCAGGGCGGATAATCTCGCCCCCCCCCCCCCCCCCCGGGATGTATGTAGTGCCAGAGGCAGGCAGGGGCTGCCTGCCTGAGAGGGGCGTTGTTGAAGAGGCTGGTGGGCTGGACCAGGACACTCTGCTGCCTGAGGGCATCCCTCCCACCCTTTCTGTGTCTCCTGCATGAGGAGAGAGAACGTCCCCCACTCCCTCGGATGCATGCGGACAATTTTCTCATCTCAACTATTGGAAGGGTTTGCCGCCCACACACTCTGCCTTCCCCATCCGAACTGTAGATGCCTAGGCAGGCAGATGTCTAGGCAGCATCCCACTCACCCAGCATCCCACTCACACTTTGGCAAACCTAATGAGAGTGAGCCACCATTCATAGGACAGAGTATGGACATTCTGTCTCTCTCCCTCTGTTTGGTTCACACCAATGAACTTCAGATTGGCCATTCTGGCCTATGCCTAAATCAAGGGCTGCCTAACACCTCATCCCTCATATCTGTCCTGAATCTCCCACAAGTTAGCATCATGGAATGATCCTGGCTCCTGGCATTTTGAGAAAGGAAAAAATGTTTCTCCATCGGCCTTCTCCACACCCTGCATAGTTTTGTATGCCTTTGTAACTTCTCTCCATTTGTTGTTATTGTTTTAGTCACAAAGTCAGGTCTGAACCTTCATGACGCCATGGGCAACATTCCTCCAGGCCTTCCTGTCCTCCCCCATCCCCTGGAGTCCACCCAAGCCCACACCCACCACCCCAGTGACCCCATCCAGCCACCTCAACCTCTGCCGTCCCCTTCTCCTTTTGCCGTCAATCATTCCCACCTGAAGATTTTCTCCAGTGAGTCCTTCCTTCTCATTAGATGGCCAAAGTGTTCCAGTTTCAGCTTCAGCATCTGACCTTCTAAAGAACAGTCAGGGTTGATTTCTTTTTAGATTGAACTTGTCTCCATATTCACCCTTTATTGAAGATCTTTAGTCCCAGAAGTTCTAACTTCCATTGCGGAGCTGCTCCAAGTCATAGATCCTTTCAGTTCCCTTTTCTGCACTTTTCCCAACTCTACAATTTCCTTTTTAAGATGTGGTGACTACAACGGTATGCAGAATCCCACGTGTGGCTGGCCCACAGATTTACCCAAGCACTGTATGATATTGGCAGTTTCAGTTCCTAAGCATCTCCCAGTTATGCCTGAAATGGAGCTGAACTTTTTCACAACTGCTCAGTTACCATTTCTAGCATGCTGTCAACCACAAGCACAAGATCTCCTTTCAGGTCTGGCCCTGCTAGCTCAGCTGTATTCATCAAGAATATACGGGAAGTTGGGACGTTTGGCCCCAGTGCGCATCACTTACTTGTGCTGAACCGCAGGTGCCATGTCGGCACTCATTCTTCCAATGGGGATTGTGTAGAGGCAGACCCCGAATCCTCTCTGCCCACTAGGTAGGCCGGGTGGAAGAGTAGCTGTGTGCACGTGTTGACAAGGCAACTAGCGCCCAGGACATCTTGAGCCACGCTGTCTGTGATAAACAGGATGCAGCCTGTGTCTGAGACACCACACATGCGGTTTTGATGCCAGGAGAACCGGTGCCAACTGTAAATCAACATTCACGGAAGCTGGTAAACCAAGTGTTGGATAGTGACTGCATCTGGGATTGTTGTGATTTACATACACGGTAATTAAGAAGGTAAGGAAGTAATTCATGAACCCCTGAAGCTGGAGTCTTAGACGCATGCTATGTGGGGCAGGAGCGGCAGCAGAGTGGTCCTCTCCTCCTCCTCTGCCCCATGCTGCAGTCCTGACCGTTG